GAATATGAAATACAACGTAACAATCTTCCCTTACCTCTCTTTATTTTCTCTTCCGTATTTAACATTTATTTATTTATTTATTTATTTATTACAGGAGGAAAAAGTAGTAAAAGAAAGACTACAGCTATATGCACAAGTTTATTTTACCCTAAAATATAGGAATATTGTATGGTTGCCTTATGAGATTATTTCCGACTCATACGCTATTGAAATTTGTATACCAAATCCCAAAACCGATAATCAAACGAGAATTTTTTTTTTTTTTTTTTTTTTTTTTTTTTTTTTTTTTTTTGAGAAAGGGGGAATGAGGATAAGAAAATAATCTTCTTCTCATTTCCTCATCTTTTTTTTTTTCGATCATTCATAACAATATAGTGTAAATTTGATTTAATTTGTACAATAGCATTTGTTATTGTTTTTATTTGTATATATTTTATAGATTAAAGAAGCGATTAATCGTTCCAATTGAATTTCAAACGACAAATGAACAAGTTATTACCCCTATAGATGACAATGGATTGACAATTATGTAAGTATATAAGTTATCACATTTTCTTACAATTTTTTTTTCTTATTGTGTTCATTGATTATTTTGCTAATTTTTATTATTAAATTGCGAAAAATAATTTACATGTCCTTTAATACTATATCTTATTTTATTTCCATGCTCATGAATGTAATAATTCTTCAACAAACTTTAGAAATTCATTGAAATGTTTTCTTTTCAATTTTCATTACTATAGTATAAGATGTTGATTAAAAAAAAGTAGACTACACATTAATAATAAGTTTAGCCCCAAATCTTAAGACTTGGGGTGATATCATCATTTTGAGTCTTAAGACTTATTGCTTAAGACTTTTCCAATTTTTCTTCAAAAATCTCAAACAAGTCTCAAATTGAGTCTTGAAATTTCAAGACTCAACTTAAAACTTGAGATTGGGACCCATTTCTCTCACCTCACTTTTATTTTTATTATCCTTTTTTTTTAAAACACTTTTCTACCTATAATATGTCAAATATTTAAATCTTAGGGCTAAAGTTATAAATTTGTGTAGGTCTTTAACAAGAATTTGATGACATCATTTTCAATGGGGACCACAAAAAATGATGTCACATCCAAGTCTTAAGACATGGGGCTAAACTTGCCGAGCCTTGCCCCCCCCACCCAATGGCCAGATTTTGATATTATATAAATAAATAAAATTTGTACAAATATTTAAGTTTTACTCCTTTTTTTTTTATACTTGCTCTATTTATCTATGCGCGGAGTTTTAGGAGAAATTGGAGAGAGTAATAAAATATGGAGGTAATGGAGTAGTTGAGAAAATAAAAAATTGAAAAAAACAAAAGTATTGGAAGAATATGAGGTGAGAGAGTATTATGTTGGGTCCACCAAGTATGAGAAATAAATTAAATATTATAAAAGCTTTCTAAAAAAGGAAATGGAACAAGTATTTGAAAACACCCGGAAAAGGAAAGTGGGGCAAGTATTTAAAAACGGGGGGAGTATTAGGCTTAGTTGGTTAGTTACTTGTTCTGTATATTTGGAAGGTCAAGGGTTTAATTACCTTTTTTTTTTTTTTTTTTTTTTTTTCTTTTTTTTAAGTGTGGGCTTCTTAAATTCATATTCCATTATGGCTTATTATTTGAAATGCTTTATAACTTCGGCCCGGGCTATAACAAATTTTTGGATCCGCCCTTGCTTATACATCTGTTTTAAAGAACTACGAAATATAATGTAAGATGTTAATTCCAAAAAAAAAAAAGAAAAAAAAAAAAGAGGTAGATTACACATTCATAATAGAATCTTATACATTTGTTTTAAAGAGAACAATTACGCATTTGAATTAAGGATGCTCATAAATGTAACTATTACAAAATTTGTGAGATTGTTTATTCTGGTTTCATAAAAGAGTTATTACATTCACAGTATATAGAATAATCACAGTAATGCATGTGAGGTTTGTGAATTATAAATTCCTGGGGTACTTATTTCACCATCATATCAATCTCCTTATTTTACTTAATAATTATTACTTTAATATGTCTAATTTTGTTTTTCCTTTCATAATTTTCGGCATGATCGAGATAAGTACTTGGCAAAAACTTGTATACAAGTAGGTGTATTGTATACATTGTTCTAGTCATCTCAAATCACGTAAAAGTGAACAATGTGGTAACATTTTATACTATACACCCGTTGCATATAAGAATATGGTCTGCTATACATTGCATGCATGCGTTAAATTGCGTTTTGACATGGATTCTTTGGTAGTGCAGAGACAACACCAAAGAAAGAAATAAGGAAAAGTTGAATAGCCACAAAAAGCCTCAGAAATTGAATAGAATTGATGGCATTTAGAAGAGCCATAGGGGCAGTGAAGGATCAAACTACCATTGGGCTAGCAAAGGTAGGAAGCAGCGCCTCGTTATCGGACTTAGATATAGCCATTGTTAAGGCAACCAGCCATGACGAGTATCCAGCTGAAGAGAAATACTATGATGAGATCTATAGCTTGACTTGCTACTCTCGAGCCTTCATTGGATCTTGTGTTAGTACGATTTCTAGGCGCCTTAGCAAGACCAAAAATTGGGTAATCTGACTTTATATACTTATGATTTACTACAATGCTCAATCTTTTGTTTGATTTGTTATTCACCGAGTTAGTAGGCAGTGACTAATATGCAGACATTAGCTTCCTTCGCCTTTTATAATCATATATAGCGAGGTGCATCATATAACCAATTGACATATATAGGAGTATTCACTTGGGTTTAAATACGAAGATACTCATAACATATTCACACTTGTACCTAATGTAACCAAATAAAAATAATGCTCGATCACATATATATGGCATTTGTTTCTTACTCTTAAACATACAGGTAGTAGCCTTGAAGACACTGATGCTAATCCAAAAGCTGTTATCAGAAGGAGACCCTGCCTTTGAACAAGAGATATTCTACTCGACAAGGCGTGGGACTCGGATGCTCAACATGTCAGATTTCCGAGACTCACGGTCTAATTGTTGGGACTACTCGGCATTTGTAAGGATGTTCGCCTTGTACTTGGACGAAAGACTTGAATTCAAGGTACAGGGGAAGAGGAAACATCATCACCATAGAACACGCTCCTATTCATCCTCCTATGAAATGCAGCAGCCGGAAGAGCAATACCGTGACTCAAGTAATAATGTTTCGGTTTCAGGTTCTTCTCCATGGACAGTAGCAACTACTGACCTTTCCACTGAACAAGTATTGTCAAAGATTCACCATTTGCAACAACTTCTTGATAGATTTCTATCAACCAAGCCATCAGGTTCTTCACCTCCCTGCCCTTCTTACTATTTCAAGTATATACAAAACATTTGTACCCTTAGCTATTTTCATGCTGGTTAATGAATCGTCTTTTCTTGGTTGAAATTATAGGTTCTGCAAAGCACAATCGTATCGTAATAGTAGCTCTGTATTCGATTGTGAGAGACAGCTTCCAAATATATTATGACATTACAGACATACTAGCTATTCTGATCGATCAGTTTATGGAGTTGGATATCCCTGAATGTATCAAAGTACATGAAATTCTTTGTCGTATTTCAAATCAATTCGACGAGCTCGATTCATACTATGCCTGGTGTAAAGACATAGGAGTGGTACGGTCCTCCGAATACCCTGAAGTTGAGAAAATCACCCCAAAGAAGCTTGATCTTATGGACGAATTCATAAGAGAAAAAGCAGCTAGTATCGTAAACAAATTGGCTAACATGGACAGAAACAAAGAGGAGAAAGAATCTGCCTCACTAGAGGAGAAAGAAGATGAAATCGTCGAGGATATGAATACAATAAAGGCACTTCCTCCAGTAGAAGGTTTCCCAAAAGAGGAAGAGAAGGAACATGAGCCAAAGAAGAAAGATGAACCTGAATCCAAAGAGGCTGATCTAATAAACTTAGGAGATGATGCTCCTACAAATGAAGAGCACGAGGATAACGTTGCCTTAGCATTATTTGATGGAGCAACAGGCGACAGCCTAACCCAACCTCCATTGTGGGAGGCCTTCAATGACACATCAAATTGGGAGACGACATTAGTCCAATCAGCTAGCCATTTGCCCCATCAAAAGGCTTCCCTTGGGGGTGGCTTTGACACAATGCTATTAAATGGCATGTATACACAAGGGGCAAATAATGCAGCTTTAGCTGCTAATCGCATGGGAGGAACAGGGAGTGCTAGCAGTGTGGCTCCAGGATCCCTTGGAAACCCCCAGATGCTAGCATTACCGGCTCCATCATCATCTTCAGGCTTCTATTCGCCTGTCGTAGACCCATTTGCAGCATCATTGGCAGTCGCCCCACCACCTTATGTGCAAATCTCAGAGTTAGAGAAGAAACAAAGACGGTTGATTGAGGAACAACTGATGTGGCAACAATATCACAGGGATGGTATGCAAGGCCATGCTGCACTGTCAAACATACAACAAATGCCAACCAACATGGGAGGTTTTGGCCATGGATATAATGCCTATCATTACCGATATCGATGCTGAACTGTATACTAATACAATAGAACATTCACAGTAGGATTTGGTATTTGTTGTAAGAATGTAAACCTCTGTAATTTAAAATTTGTAGTGAAGTTTAATATAAATACCAAGGTTTGTGAGTAGTCAATCTCAAACATTAATGGTAAGCAGTCTAATGATAATAAGCAGTACCTGACAACATATTTAGACTATTGACATACTAACCAATTTGAGGCCAGAAAAAGTGCCACTTTCAGTACTCTACTGGGGATCAAAGAGAGACTAGGTAACTGAGAATTACTTGAACTCCTTTCTATACACTTACAGAGAGATCACGTTGTAATTGCAAACGATGTGATAAAAAGCTGGTGATGAAGGGCAATATCAAAGAGGGAAATCTTACATTTCAGAACACTAAACAGTCAGCATGGACAAAAATAATAATCTACTGAGTTATTCTATATTTCAGACACGAAGAATAGGCCAAACCTAATTTGCAGTCTAGTTCATATCAAGATCTTCAATCAAACAATTTAACATGAAAGATTCTGCCATAGACCATTCTTCTATTACTGGTACACAACTACAAAGACTAAATGTCTCTATAATATCTAGAACTGATCAATAGAAACATCAGACTTTGATCACACTTCATCATGCACTAAACTAAGTGGCATCATTGTTATCTATACAATAAGACAAGTTATGCATCTACCAAAGAAGTTTGTTCATCATTGTCTCGTCATTTTCATCAACTACCTGGATGTTGGCAAGCATTACAAAACTCAAATCCCTATTTTACGCAGACAAAAAAAGTTGAAACTTATGTTGACAAAAATAGGAAACTGAAAAAGGAAAAAGAAAAGAAAAATGGCAAGAGAGAGATGCAACACATGGGCTCATCATTCGGTGTGCAATGAACTATTGCGCTGCACCAAATTGTAGCAGGAAATGACTTGGTAGCCATAGCATTATCGCATATTTGTTTTGGCAGATACACCCAGTGTCATTCCTACACGAACCAAAGTCTCAAGTGATCGGGCACTATTATCTAGGAGGTCCTCGTCCAGTTTTATTGCGCCCTGCAAAGAAAATAAAATCAATAGAGAGCATGTCATCTATCTCCAAGAATCAATTTGTTCTAGTAAAATTTAGATTGGCACTGATAGAATGCAAATTACGGAGCTGTTTAATGTTTAAGGCCTTCTAGTCCTCCTAATTAATTGGCATGCATTTCTAACAATCTATCTTTGACAAAAGTAGTAGCGTGAATAACAGCATTATGCCAGGAAAATTTACAGAATTTATTGTTAGACACGAGGTCACACGACTGGTATCAAAGAGAGTGATCTGATAATAGAGATTGCAAAGAAAGCAGAATCAGGGAACAGTTATGTGCGGAGAACAAGTAAAAAGCAGAGAGAAAATGATAAGACTTTCTGCAGATAATAGTTTTAAAACAATTGTTACTAAAGACTTGTTAACAATTTCAGCTTGAACCTTAATGTTGTCGACCATCATATTGCTAACTAGAAATATGCATTTAATCTGAGAGTTGGAAAAGAAAATTCTAGAATAAAACTTAGATTGCTGTTAAGTACTTCCTCCATTTTTTATTAGTTGACACCTTTCTATTATTACGCTTACCAACACATGTGTTTAACAATAAATATCTCTAATTATAACCATTGTAAAATTATAAAAAGTGGATATTAATAAAATATATATCGAGACAATTTAAAAAAGATCTCACATGACTATATTTTTTTTATCGTATCTATAGATCGTAAAAAGTGTAGTATGTGAATAGTGTAAAAATCAAACGGTTTCAATTAATAAAAAAACGGAGGAAGTATAATGGTTGGTTATGAAAGGAATTTACGGAATTTGAGAGTATAAAGTCTCTTTATTAAGATAAAAGTTCTATTACATAAAGCTTTTGTATCTAGAGTTAAAGATAAAGTTCTGAATGATACTTGGCGTTTTTAGTTATGTAAATAAAATGCATCATGAGAGCTGAAGGGCATGAGTATTTTTGTCCCTTTTTTAAAAGGTCAAATATCCTAGGTGTCTTTCTTATACATCAATTTATTTTTTACTACGTATATTCAAAATAATCATAAACCTAATTATAATAAAATATAAATTTGAACGTAATTTTACAAGTGAAATACCTTCTCAAACACACAAATTACAGTGCTTCCACCAAATGAGAAGTACCCAAACTGCAACATCAGTAAACAACAATTGTCATGGAGATTGTAAAAGGAGAAAATAGGCACAAGTGCACAACATTCAGTAAGTAAAATTCAGGAAGTCCCAACCTCCTCGCCCTTCTGAACATAGTCACCTTTTTCCCTAGTAAATGTAATGCTGCCAACCATTGTTGCACCAATCGCAACAAAAGCTACCTGCAACCAGATTGATGATAGCTTAATGAAAAAAAAAAACAGCTTCTCTTCCTTGGGAAGTGGGAACACTAAGATGACTGGTCTAAGCAATACAGCAGCAGTCATTCAGAAGCAATTGTGGCAATACTTAATTATGACTCTCAGCAGTTTGTTTAGTTTAAGGTTTCCAAGGAATGAGATGCAGGAGCATCAAGGTGGAATTGAAGAGTTCTATTACCTATATACCTTACCCTTTAAATCCATTCTATTTCTCACGGAGTTAACTAACACTTACTTAACAATTGATAAATCTGAATGGTTTTATACTTAAATTGCAGTTTGTTAATAAATATTCACAAACAAGTAATATAAGACTTTTTAATTTTTACATCACACAAAGGAAAAAATGAAGTAAAATCAATCCCATTGATAAATTTAAATGAAATGGACTATGCTGTAAACACAAAAGACAAGTTAAGGTGTGACAAAAGAAGCTACTTATTAACAACAAAGTCCAGCATCAACTTTGATACTAGTTGTGAAATAAAGAGCTCAGAAACTTTATTCTCAAAATATGGAAGTAGGTATGTGACTGGTAACATTTATTAAACCATGTTCCTGAAAGAAGCTAATAGCAACACTAACCTTTCCAAAACATGAAGTTGATATTATAGACACAGCTCTCTTATTCTCTGTGAAGACATCACAAAGGCTGTTTACAGCAATAGGATTAACCTGCCTCAACCGGAAAAAGGAAAATTGAAAATGAGAAACAAAAAATATATGGGTCAAAAAAGAGAATAATATCTGATTCTATAATCACTTAAAAAAAAAAAAAACAATTTTCAATAATTCATACAGTGTATAAGCACCCAGGTATATGAACAAATCTCTCAATGGTCCCCGAAACTGGTAAGTGAAAACGATGATAATCCTGCAATAACAGTTTGATTATAATTATGTCCAAATGGTGGAAAAGGATGCTGGCTAGTTCAAAAAATCTTCTTAAGAAGTTAACTTTACTAATTACCTGAGGAGCTAACCGAAATATCACCAATGCTCCACCAATGAAATGACTGGCAGAAACATCATTTCCCAATAGGCCTTGAATAGAGAATTTCCGACCCTACATAATCATATTATATCAGCTAGGAGGCAAAACTCTGGATTTAATCAAACAACTAGCATACCACTGACCATTGTACTTTTATATTTTATATGCTCTAAATTTTCACAAATTATAGTAAAGGCCAATTTTTCTGTACCAGAGCCAAAGCTTATCTGGTGAGAATCCACCAAATATCAAGTATTCTCAAGAAGTCCCCCTATAAAATAAAATACTACAGAGGTCTAGATAAATTATAGGGGCAAGGTCTGAAGAGACCTAACTATATTTATAAGTTATTCCTTTGTTGCTTAACAATATACAAGATACTTCTTCAATAAAATTATGATCAATTCATATAGATTCAAGAGAATGCGATATATTCAACAGTTTGCAGCACCCATCCAGAAGCAAATATGACACAGCAATAATCCTACGAAAATGACAATCCCTACCATAAGTACACAGTTATTAATTAAAATGTTGGCAAGTAGAAGCTCTCACATGTAATAAATCAATAAAAACATGGTGGCGATATTGTATCAAAGGTCAATGAAACAAACAAGTAGAATAACTTTGCTGTCAATCTGCCATGTTTTGTAGAGATAAAAAAGTAGGAGGATGAAAGTTTCCTTGATCATTTTATTGTACAAATGCGAAGATCAACTTGTATTGAGACTAGTTCTACAAAACACTGTTTTCTCCTTTAAATATACAAATGGTATATAGTACCTTGACCCAGAATCTGGTGCTGTCTTCCACATTTTTAAAAGCCGTTAGACGAGAATCTGCACCACATACTGCAATATCATCACGATCCATGAAGGCAATGGGTCTTGCACCAGGTTTTAGTTCCCGAATGAAAAATTCATTAAAGGTCTGTACAATCAAAAGTGAGACGTTAATTGATAGTGAGAAAATGACATATAAAAAAATGAACAATGGAGATATAAAAGAAGTCTTCATCAAATCATGAATAAGCAAAATGGACTATACAAAGATGCTGCTGCCTGATCCAAACTTCAAAATGAATCAAGTAAACAAACAGATAGGGTGATTTTCCCACATAGATCCCACTCTCTGATAACTTCTGTCTTTAACAAACAGGGAGAAAACATAAAAATGAAGGCACAAACATTATGAAAATGACCACAAGTCCAGTGGTGTCACTGTCTGTCATCCCTAAATCAAATGCATAAAGATATCCCTTAAAATTCAGTATTAAAAAGATTAACAGCAAAAGTAATGGAGTAAAAAACAACTCAGTTAACTCACAACTAGCACAATCAAGTTAACAATGCTAGTAAAATCCTTCAATTAATTATTTCTCCTTTGTCCACTTTTGTAGGACCATTACCACTCTTCAATCAAGCCTCAAAATGTTGAATCACAGAAGGATTCACAAATGAAAGAAGATAACAACAAATATCTTGCATATGCAGGATTTAAGCTTTTTAGATAACAAATAAAGGTCCCCAATCAGATAGCCTACCAATATTGGCTAAAGAGGCCATCCTTGGTTGCAATGAGGCTTCCCATGGAGCTGAATAACTTTACACAAGAAGTTGATTTATTAAACTTCATGCGGGGCCTAAAATCATCCTTATTTTCCCAGAAAATCCCTATTACAAGTAGTGAGCAAAGTGTAATCTAAATCATTATTTTTCATACTTAAATTTGCAATCTAATCCACAAACTCTTAAATCTTCACTTAAGCTATAATCACAGATAATTCAACCTGCAATTCCCTTTAACAAAGGACTACACTAAAAACATCCACTATCTCACACCGTTGTATCTAAATTCTATTTTCTACTACCTAGATTCTTGTGGAGAAAAATGTGGGTTACTTAAGTTCTAGAAACTTTATGAACCCTTTTGATGCCATTTTGTCATGATAATCAAATTACGTTCGCTGCCCTGGTGCCTAGAGTCCCAAAGTACTTCATGATAAAGAGCTTTGCATCAGCTTTAGTACTAATGGACATCCCACATTATGCTTAGAACAAAATTTACAATGGGTGCGACGACATGTAAAGATGAAATCAAACCATATGAGTTCAACTATTCAAACCTTGAAGTGATCCAGAGGGTATTTTGTTTCAGATAAGTTCAGCTGATCCTGCAAAATATAAAGTTTATATAAACAATTTACTATTCAGCATATTATATTAAGAGCATATGAGGTATGATTGACATACAAAAAAAGAGTATTTGGTAGTCCTATTCTATGTTATATAATCAGTGATTTGAATTGTTTTTAAATGGCATAACATAGTATTTGAATAACCTTTAATTAATCTGGTAGTTTACTTGGAACCAAGTAATGAATTTGAGCTCTCTAATGTACTCCTTTTTGTTGTTTGATCTAGATGTCTAGTAAAGGTTATCTACTTAGCTCTTCCTCAGGTAAATAAAATATTGGATATATGAATCCATACGGCAGCTAAGATATTATGTATACACAGTCTTATCTCATCCCATCCAATATAAATCCCAACACACCATATCAACAATCTACTGTTTAACTGATCAAGGAGAACCCAAAATAAATAAAATTGATTATCAATGTTTTACTTGCATAGTTGCATGGTGCATGTTAATCAATTCTTTATTGGGCCATAAGAAAATTGATAATCATTTCACAATCTACCAGCTAAAATAGTAGTGTTATAATTTTATATTCAATTAGTTTTTAAACAACAGAGAAAAGGAAATAGCAGGAATAATTAGAAAAAGCCATAAATGCAAATATTGGACCATAAGAAAGAAACACTCCCCCCCCCCCCCACACCTTCCCAATAACAACAATAACAAAGCCTTAGTCCCAAAATGATTTGCGGTCAGCTAACATGAATCGTCATAAGGGACCGTCCGAAAGAGAAAAAGTTCCTAGCAAGATAGCGGATTAAATAATATATGGCCCCTCTAAAAAAAACAGCTAAAAGAATTTGACTGTATAAAGAAAGAGCACAATTGTCATCATTACTAAAGATGGCACTGGCAGGCCGGCCCGAAGCCCGGCACGGCAGTTTCACAAAAAAAACAGCACGGCACGAAACTGTGCATGTGGGCCGCCTTTATTTGTGAAAAGCACGATAAGGCTCAACACGACCAGGCCCGACACGACAAAGCATGCTAAAATCAATGCAATTTTTCTTAGGCACGCAAGCTCGGCACGTGGGCTTGGGCCGTGCACTGGCCAACCTTTTGAAAACTTTGGCCCGACACGGCACGACACGAAACTTGTGGGCCAAGCGTAACTAACCTTAAAGAATGTGGGCCTGGCACGAGGCATGACCCGACACGGCCCAGAGCCATCTTTAATCATTACCAAACCACCAATAAAGGGAGAACACTAGTACCGTACCTTGAAAAGTTCAATAAATTTTGGTATCTCTTTTGTAGATTCAGCCGAGTTCATTTTTTCTCCTTGCTTTTCAGAGAGTTTTTGCATAATTTCTTTGCCTCCTGCACCACAATCATGAGGAAAATACAGTTTAATATAAAAATAAAGGCAATTGCAATATAATCTACTAATTTCTAAAAAAATGGGGGGGGGGGGAGATGAAGAAGAAGACGATGTCATTGAAATTTTAGCCATATATGTTATACAATTGGAAAAAGGTAGCACAATGCAAGCTTATAATACATATAACTATTCAAGGTGTAAAGGAGAACTGTTAATACAGTCTTGAAATTGACAAGTACTATAATTCATGAGATTAACTATCTAAAAGCCAAAACAATCTATGACAGAATACTAGAATAGTACTCTCACGTTTCTTTGTGCTACCCAATTACTGTGGATGCAAAGATCAAGTAGAAGACAGGGGAGGAAAGACATCCATGTATTTCTACTGTTTAGAGGACAGGGAGAGAACAAGGTATGAATAATGGGTTTAAATGGGTCCTATGTAGTAACAAGGGAAGGCAAAAGGTAGAAATATATTTAGCTATAAGATTTAAGTGGTAGTAGGTATACACAATGGATGAGAACAAATAAGGACTAGAACCAAAAAAAAAAAGAAAAATATACAAATGGAGGGAGTACAATGAACTCGCCATTAAGCATATTTTTTTAAAAAAAAAAGTTTCTATGAAATACATATTCTCTGTAAAGCTTGTTAGCAAGAGCAACATATTAAGATAGGTGTAGAGCTGTTGAAAGTTCCAAAACAGCAGGACAACATAGCAAATAAAAAACAGACCAAACATAAGGACATCTGACTCTATAACTTATAAAGTATCTGACAAGTTGGCAAAGCTGAATATTAAGATCAGATACAAGAAAAGCCTCTTATTAAATTTATTACACTTAATTGATTGTACCTTTTCCGAGAAAGTAAAGCCCCGGTTTATTTTGATACAAGGATCTCATTGCCAAAATAATCTTTCCATCAATCAGTTCTTCCACCAGCCTCTTTGTTGTACGATCAAAAACCTAGAGCATCAACATTACAGTTTATCAACAGAACCGAATGATAAGTGTATAATTTGAGGTGCCAATTTATCAGAAAACACGATGTGTACTGCAGAAACTTATAGTAATTAAAACTAATATAATACTTCCTCTGTTCTTTTTTTATTGCACCATAAGGGGTTTCACGCTTGCCAACGCATTACTTTGGCTATTAATATCTTTAATTATACTTTTGTAAAAATTATAAAAAATTGATATTTGAAAAGTAGATTTCAAGACGAATCTAACTAGATCTCACGTGACTATGTTTTTCCTAATAGATAAATCACAAAAGATGGTCAAAGAAGATTAAGTGAATAGTGTAAAAGTCCTTATGGTGCAATAAAAGAAAAACGGAGGAAGTATAATAATTGATGCTAGCATAACTAACATTTCCTGCATACCCAGGATACAGCCCACATAATGTACTTCAGATATTAATGAAAGGCAGACATGGGGGATGTGAATTGGGAACCCCAAAATAGATGGAGGGAGTATATGTATTCAAATAATTCACAGACATATCATCATCATATTAATCCCTATTTTACTTGTTATGTGATTGAATTATAATGGAAGTTAAATACATTAGAATCTCAAATATATTCATTTCTTAATGAGATGTGTAAGGTTATAATACACGAAGTATGTTATTTGAATTGATGGATTTGGTTCCAAAGATAATGGCTTTATATTTGTATGAGGGAAGCTAATGGTTCACATTTAGTTACAGCCAGAAGAACTACTCTAATCTCCGGATTGAAGGATCCAACATAAAACTCCCATCCTTCCTGGCCAATGATGAAACTCAAAAGAATCCACTAGCAAACTATCCTTCTCAGAAGTATAGAATAGCAAAGCGACAGTTCCGGGAGGTAAAAAAAAACCAGCTATCTCAGCATAGGATGGAGATTGGTAATTAGTGAAATAAAGCTCAAAAAGACCATCCTCTTTCCATACCAGAATATGTCCTGCCTTTGAGCCTGAGTGCAAGCCAATGCCATAAGAAGAGTATTGTGCCCACTCACTCAGTTTGAGTAGCCATCTAAATACAGCAAAACAGAAATGAAAAATGAATGTTATTAAATCTAATAAAGACTTCAAGAAAAACAGCAAAAGCTAAGTTACAAAGCCATACTAAAAATATGAGGGGTAACAAAAATCCTATTGGGCAGTTCACTGGTTCAAGACCGGAGCATATTGGACCGAAGACCAGCAAGACCCATAGATCAGAACAATAATGCTAAAGACCAGACAAGAACAGACTACACAAGACTGTTACAACCAGTCTAAACCTAGACGAGAAAATTTCAGGCCAGTTTTTAAACATTTTGTATGTTTTTATACTTTGTATTATTTTATTACATTATAGAATAGAAGAGAAAAATAAATACGCCCTCCATTATATTTTTATTGCAAACCTTCCTATAAACAACCCTTTTTTTTATTGCAACACTTAAATGGAAATACTATTAACTATTTTGTAATATCTCTCTTCATATGGTCCCCACTCATACCCCACCCACTCTTTTTTGATAATTCCCTTCCCTCAACTCCCTTACTCTTACATAAACTGTTCACCCACTATCACTTTTACTTCATTTTTTTTCAACTTAACAAAGCCCACTTACATTATATTTTTACAAATTCAAATCAAGTGCATAAAACTCCTTGCAGGTCAAAGTGTTGCAATTAACACAACAACAACAACAACCAAAAAAAAAAAAAGAAAGAGAGAGAGAAAATTGATAGTTCAATGAATTTTTTGAAAGTATAATATTGAATAGCTCATAATATACATTATAAAATCCTCCTCACATATTTAAGGAGAAAATCAATCAATTTCAAGGCTTATATGTATATTTTGTAACAAAAAATTGGTCTAGTCCAAGACTGATATTTAACGGATTTTAGACCGGACCAAACCGAACCAAAGACCGTATATTAAACTTTTCAACTTGGAGATCGGACCATTTCTTTTATTTTGGATCAATCTCGTCCAGTATATTTTTATATACGGACTAATTTTGCACACCCCTAACTGACCTAGGGGCCAAGAGCCTAGGAGCGTAGGCTGTGAGATTCAGCATTTAATTAATTTATTAATAACCAGAGTACTAAAACTTGCTTAGGTGAAATATTCTTACCCATATGAAGCCTGCTTATCTGTTAAAAATCCCCCACTCATGGCATTGTTTCTTGTCCCTTCATTAAAACACAAGGTCATATGAACCATGCTACCAACCTGATTGGAAGCGTCAAGGAGCTCACCACAAACTGGACAAGAATTAATGAGGGGTTCCCTGTAAAACAACCAGTTAATAATAAATCAGATGCTCAAAATATAAGAAACTCACAAATCATAGCTGACCAAAGAACACAATTCCACACTAATGCTTACAAAAGCACACAAATAATAAGGGTGATTTGCACGGGGTAAATGAAATGGAATTAAGAAAGGGTAAGAGAGAATTGAAAGAAAAACCCTTTGATTAAAATTGTTGTTTGGTAATATTTGGCCATTCAAAACTCTCTACTCTCACCATTGCACCACTACCACCTTATCCCTTGTTTATATGTCGCTACCACCCTTCCTCGCCATCTCCCCAACACTGTAGCCCTTTCTCTCCTCTTTTTGTTTCATCACAGCCATTGAAGCTCAAATTTCAGGTTCTAATGGTCAAACTTGAATAAGAAAACTCTGCATTTACAATTTTCATGGTCAAATTTGACCTTTCAAAGCCATAATTTAATATAAGAAAAGGTAATTCCTCATTTTTAATCTTTTTTTTTTTTTCCAAATTTTAGGGTTGTGGGTTATTGGTAGTGATGGTGGTGGTAATGATGATAAATGTGGCAGTAGTTGGACGCCTGGACGGTTGTGGTTGCAATAAAGAGAATGGAAGTACCATGGGGGGATGGAGAGTCATGGTATAGGGAATTAGCACGTGGGTAATTCAATCTTCAAATCCTCCATCACTACAAATTGCAATTGCTCATTGACCAAGTATTCCTCTCAACTTTTGCTTTTGAATATGCGGCAGCAAATTTGTCTTACAACAACCAACAGTGACATTCACTAGTTGACTATAGTGGACATTGGATTTAGGAATCACCAGCATGTTTTAAAAGAAAACAACCTGATCATTCTGTTGGCACTTAATGGCAGAATTCCTACTAATTCCTAACTATATTAGAGAAGCTTACAAGTAACAAAAAAAAAAAAAAAAACAATCATCTTAGGTTGAACTAAGCCCCTAACCAAGAGACCTTGGTGGTGACTTTATAGATAATATTGATATAATCCAAACTCTGTTAAAGCCTTCCATAGCTCACTTTCTACTAATACTTCAATTATTTGCATCAATAATCTCTTCTCCTACAAATATCATAACTTTTTTTTTATTATTAATTTATTTATTTTTTTTTTTTAACAAACTAAGTACCGGGCAACTAAGCTGATAGCAATCTAAACCCACATTATATTGAAATTCATGTTTATAAACTTAATATCATAATTTAAAATTTTTAAAAATCTACCCATGAACAGAAAATGAGATCCCAAATTCCCAATTATATTTCTTAGGCTAATTTAATCATGCTCTTACACGACATACTTTTCTTGATGATAGGAAAGTAGGGAAGCCAATTCGTCGATGCTAACAACTCCATCCCTGTTTTTATCTGCATCCCTGAAAAGCTCGTCTTTCTAGAAAGAACAGAACAAAATACAGTTCCTCAGAAACATAATAAAGATACAAACCAACTTTGTAGCACTATACATATTCATTCTGAAAAGTAAGATATACAGACTTTGTCAGCTGCAGCTTGGTTACCAAATGCATCAATCAACTGAGAGAATTCAGAGAAAGAAAGACAGCCATCTTCATTATAATCCTACAAAGAGATAAAAAATTCAGACTTTGGATACATTTATAATGATCATTTAAAGTAAAGGAAAAGGAAAAGGTAAAACTATTACTACATATAAAAGAGCAACAACAATTAATAAGCTTAGCACAAAAAGAAGTATCACTCCTTTCTTTGTAACACCTCTCGTAATTCCAGCTTATGGTGGTAGTAAACTAATAATATGACAACAGAAATACAATATGCAACTTCCAAAGCATGGAATCCATTGTTAAAATTGCTCAAAATCTTACAAGTAGGGATAACAATCCAATCTTATATTTTAGTAACTTGTTTCAGTATGTATGTTAAAGTGTTAGTGATGAAGATTCTGATGACATCGGAAATGGAAAATGAGCTAATAAATACCAGACTTTATATTGAAAATTCAAAACAAAAGATCATGTTGACAGGAGCAGAGTATTGAAGTACATCATAGAATTCATGGCAAAGATCCAAACAACACCCAATTCTGCTTGGAAATACAAAATAAAGAAAATCTGGGTCGCTGAAGTGATCTAGAAAATCATATCAAAGCTGGATGAATCATGTGTTGACATTGAGAAGGATCAAAAAATGTTGGGACGCTTGGAAAAAGGTCAAAGCTAACAATGGACTTCTATACTTCAAACATCAAAGTATCAAACACTACAACCAAATGTAAAGCTCCTCGAAATGGATAAAATCGTGCAAAGATTCTCATGATCCTTGTACCACAACACTCCTATATAAGTAAGTATCTTAGTCACTTGAAAGACTCCTGTAGAGTTCAGGTGCAATAACGGCCTCCCCCTCTTTATTCCAAGATAGTAAGGAGAGTCGACAAATTATATATATGATTTATGGATAGGTTAGCGATTCTAGTATAGAGTATTAACTATTAACTAAACCAATTGATATACTAGATTTGCTGATCCGTTTGTTAACTTTCTAGAGTTTCTACACATGATCCAAAAGATGCCCTCAATTATTTATGTCATGAAAACTCATCAAATATATCATTGACCAGGACTAAAAAGAGGTGACTTAACTCTTAGCTATGAGGATATTTAATTGAACAAATACCTTGCAAATAATTACTTGTCAAACACACACAGTATTAAACGACATACCCCAATAGACAATATGCGCCGTGCAAAATCCTTCTCTATTTCTTCTGGATCCTACAAGAGACAGCAACTGACCAATAGTCCAAATAAGATTGAAAATTCAATCAAACACTTATATATATAATACATACCTCAACATAACACGAAAAAGATAGTTTTCCAACCACATCGGTCGAGGATGGATCCAAGAGATCAACTTCGGCTATATCAGACTCCAAATCCTGTAAAATGATACTAGTTTACATGCATGAATAATCTCAGACACAATATTATTATTTTACTTCTGTCATGATATTTACAAGTCTGAGAGGATATAAACTCTATATACCAGACAGCTAAAATCAAAAAGGATAACAATTGACAGTATTAGTCTCAACTATGGACAGGCTTCTTTAAATGTTCGCAACTTTGGATTAGCCAGGACAATCCGAACTATTGGGTGTTTCTTCTCTAATTAGATTATGAGACTTTTAACCAGACAAATAGGTCAATTACAATCTTTCTAAAGTTAATTTCAATTGTGAGTTTCCAAGTTTGCCTCCCCTCCCTCACTCCATCATCAAGCTCTGCCCCTCTACCCTAATAGCACTCCCCTTGTTCCTCCGTTATCCATATTCAGCATCTATGAGAGCGATTGAAGAGCATGATGTTAGTAATCTAGAGGCTATATCCATGTGTAAGGCATCAACGATTCAACACAACAAATCAATACAATAAGATACCTTAATAACCTATATACCCTAAATTACTAAACATGTACCATCGCTTTTTCACATTATATTAACTATTTAATCGTTAATATCTCAAATTCTGTATAATCTAAAATTATAAAATTTACTTTTTGAAATTTACATATCAAGAAGATTTTAACAAGACCCCACATGACTAAATTTTCCTTATATGTTGGTGATTATACATGATCAAACTTTGATCTCTTTAACCAAGACTACAGTGAATGGGTGCATCTTTTGGAGACAGAAGGAGTATAAATTATTTTTTTCCTTAGGGAGTTAGGTGTGTTAATATCAAATCAACTAAATCACATGGATCTACCATAAGCTGAATATATGAAGGGCAAAAGAGTATTGTTTCGGAAGGTAAAAGGAAGAAATTGAGTTGGATGTAGATTTTACATGTGGTGGACTGTGGAAGAGGAAAAAGTATGGACCTAGCGGAATCAAGGTGACTAGTTGCTCCACAAGAGTTTACCCAGGAGGTCATGGCGTGGCGGTTGAGAAGGGTGTAGTAAGGTGTCCAATGAAGGGTGACTTCGGTAATTGGGTTGGGTGGGTCTAAAACAGAAGGTGGGGAGCAAATCCCGGAATTTCCCTTTTAGGGCTGTTAAAATTTTAAAGTTAAATGGAGTATGAATGTAAAAATGCTCTATAATTAAAAAAGTGTTTTATCATTACAATGAGAATAAGTTAAAAAGAAAATTCCTTGAAGGAAGAGAGAAAAAAAAAAAAAAATTGAATACTAGATCTAAATATTGGAACATACTAAATAACCTGTTAAAAAACAGAGCTAAAACAAAGAAACCTAATCTAAATCAAAATGCTTAGGGCTTATTTGGCATTGTTTTTTTGTTTCTTTATTTTTTTTTTTTTTTTTTTTTTTGTTGAAAACAAAAAACCAAAAACAAGAAAAAGCTTTTTTCACACCTAAGATTCATTATATGACAAATATCATATGATTTTGAAAACCAAAAAACTGAAACCACAACAATACCAAACGAACCCTTATTCTTAAATATTGATCTCACAACTTCGGCATAACCAGCTTAACCTATTGCTTCAATATTTAAAGCCACTAAACCAGAGAGATTTATATGTATAGCTACTTTAAGGTTTATAATAGCTTTGTTGAGGGGGAAGCCTCCCCTGGCAGGGAGAGGACATGGTAGTTTCTACCAAGGGATGGTGCAGTTGAGTGGATGAGAAAGGTGAGGATGCATGGTGGTTCTAGAAAGGGAAGGTTTAATTGAGTGGATGGGTAAAGTGAGGATGGGGCTCTAGTGGCTTGGCAGATGCAGCTGAGGATGAATGTTGGCATGTCGCACTTATCTACTGAACTAATTAGATTAGGTTGAGGACTTATTAGAGAAGAAACCCTAAAACTGGGGCATTTCTTAGTTAATCAAAAGTTTGGACCTTTTACAGGAAGATTACTCATAGTTAAAACTGGTACAGTCAGTTATTCCTAATAAAATTGACCAAATTTAATAATTGAGATTATCTAAGGCTTTGTTAGTAGAGAAATTAATTAGATAATGCACCTGAGTTAGAAAAACAAACAGGTTAATGTCACAATAACCTATGAGATTGTTCTTCTTCAATAAGTTGGTCTGCAATATACAAAGAAAAAATTATGTCAGAATATATACATATTTTTAAAAGCTACCAAGTAGTCTTCTCTTAGACTAGAAATATCAACATATCTATATTTATCACTGTAAGAGTCGACTAAATTCTCTAGAATGACAGCATAATACATATACGGGGCTGAAGCAGAAGATGTCCACACCTCATAGACAGTTACTCTTGCAATATGAGGCCCATTGCTTTCTAGAAGAAGTTTCTTTTCCTGCAAGAAGAAACAGATTGACATTTGTTCAGGAGAGGAGTACAGCAAGGGATCATAATTAGAGAATAAATAAATGAAAGAATTTCAATGAAGGAGAAAAGGGGAAGAAAACATAAAAGTCAATAAAAGGGGAGAGTGGGGGCACGCTGATGCGTCGTTGCACAAAAGCACCATAATAATGATAGTGAAAAGTCAAATTCATTTCTTTCTGTTTCAATTACTAAACAAATTTAGCAGTAAGGTCACCAGAAACAAACTACATTCATATAAAACATCCACATTGAAGCAGCCATCATCTCAGGAATTCCACATTCACATCAATCTTAACTTTGTAAGAAAACAAGACAACATGATTACATATATTTACGCTGCAGTGATATTTGTCTAAATCAGTTTCCTACCTGACCAAATCTTAGGACGTTCATGAAACATGGGGAATTGAAAGTAAAAGTATAGTGCTATAAAGTTTTCTAACTTAGCACTGGATAAAACTTTATAGATAGTCTGATAGTAATAATGAAATTAATGATGCTGATGGCCATCATAGCAGATGCTGCCAAGCTGACATGGTATTAAAATTTAGCAGTGGATAAAACTTAACACTGGATAAAACTTTATAGATAGTCTGATAGTAATAATGAAATTAATGATGCTGATGGCCATCATAGCAGATGCTGCCATGCTGACATGGTATTAAAAGATATAAATGAATAACATTAACATAAAAATAAATTGCATGATAAAATTGTAAGTGGCCACAATTTATTTTTATTTTTTTTTTTTAAAAAAAAAGGAAAGAAAACAAGTTCGCTAAAGTAAAGATTGAGCTTTACATTATAAGAGGGTCGGGGTAAATTAGATTGTCATAACGAAAATTGCAAAGAGGATCAGGGGCAAGTAAGTCTAAACAAAATCATAAAAGTAATAGCATAGTTCTACTCAACAAGAAGGCTTGTGAGAGTAACTACAACAAGACAGAGTTAAAACTATTTCCCAAGATAAAATCCCTCGATGCCAATGCTTCAGGATGTCCTGCACCTTATGTCCAAAAGGACTTTTTGTCATAAACTACCTTTTAAAAGCAATGTTTTGTGGGAAACTACCTAATAAAAAAATGTTGCAAGAAACTACCTATTAAAATAAAAATGTTGCAAAACTACCTATTAAAATAAAAATGTTGCAACAAACTACCTATTAAAACAAATAATGTTGTAAAAAACTATTTATTCGTCGGATTTTCGTCTTTGACTAATTTCTCCGGCATTGACCACCCTCGGCCAATCACATGATTTAAACTAACCAAATTCACACCTTTTTACCTCCCCAATTCAGCGTTCAGCTTCCCCTTTTCATCCTTAAATTAGGTCACATGAAGGCTTGTGTTGGTTTTAGGGATGCGTGAGGGTGGTTTTAGAGGTGTTTTGAGGCGTGTTCGGGTGATGTGGTGGTGGGTAAAAATCATACGGTGATGGAGCGGTGATAAGGAAGGTGGCATTACTGGTGGGGCATGGAAAAAAAAGGTTTTAAAAGGTCACGTGATTGGCAAGTAGGTGGTCAATGCCGGAAATATTAGTCAACGGTGAAAGTCCGGTGAAGGGTAGACTTTTATAACATTTTCATTTATAGGTAGTTTCTTACAACACTTTTTTATTAGGTAGTTTCCCACAAAAAATAGCTTTTAATAGGTATTTTCTGACAAAAAGCCCTTTTCAAAACCATGTATGGAAAGTAGAAAACTAGCAAGCTACAAGTGGATTACATATAAACTGAACAAATTTATCTCTATTACCTAAGAAAAGCTAATGCCATACAAAGTAGTAAATTCACAATGCAGCAATAGAATGGCTTCAAGTTAAACTACTGCTCATGGGCATACTGCATATATTCAATCACAAAAAATGACAAGTCAAATGATAATTTAAATCTTGTTGTAACTACTTTAACTCAACAGCAATTACACTCCCTCAGTTCACCACTGCTCTGATATTGGACACCTTGCCTACAGTTAGTATTTCAATAAACCATGGCAAAATCTATGCAATTGTGACATCTTATGATTTTCATTTTACAATTTGACATTTACTTTTAAAGATAGACATCTTATGCCAAATCATTTCATGGAAAGAGTGCAACACATAAGCATCAGACCATTCTCCATCTAAATTACCATGATACTGCAGCTCAAGAGAATAATACAACTGAAGCACAAGAAATTATAGCTAATGCCTAACAGCTTACTGCTTCACAATGTGTATCTAGAGAAAATCTCATTAGGGATAAATAGAGCCTGCTTAAATGCTTTCATTTGGAAAACTGCAATGGATGCAAAACTCCAATATAGAAGGCTTCATCAATAATAGATAATCTCTGTTTCAAAAAAAAATAATAGATAATCTCAAGATCTTTACATCATTTATGACTAGTAATTGTGTAATAAGATTCTTCTATTTCCAATAACAACATTTGAATATCCCTCCAGACAATATAGGGCTAGGCTTTGCACCTTAATTTCATATTTCATGTAAAGTACATGATTTCCGCTGCTACAGTTCATTGCTAAGTTGGGGACTTGATTCCCATATTGGTCATATGAGGCCTTATGTAGGGTTTATATAGGACAATGGGCTCTCCTCCCCTTAAGCAAGCTTTAGAGAATGGTTATTCTTTCATCCAGAATCAATGATATCTACCACTCCTTTGATCCTCCGGATTAGTAATCTTCTCTCTTCTACCTAAAGGGGTGGTATGTTATGGTCCATTGCAAGGAATGAGACTTAAGTACAGGGGATTATGTAGGATTTAGAAAGGATGATAGGCTCTCCAGTCTCTGTCCCTTCAGTTAGCTTTTGGAGATGGGAACCTATTATCATATATTACCTGCATAATCTTTTTGTACTTGCAGCAAAATGCCAGTGAACAAATCTAACAAAAATCTGCTTCTCGATGGCCCCCTATAGAATCATAATACCCTTTGTACATACATTCCTTTAGTTGACCAAAAGAAGGAACTCACTGTAATGAAACAAAATTTATTCAAAGACAAGCTACATTATTACAGCGTAGTTAGTTACAGAAAATCACCAAAAGAACCAAAGAGAGAAGCTTGAAACCAAAAGGCAACACATCCCAGTCCCTTGCATTAAGAAAAGAAAACATGTAAAATCCATAATCTACAATCTTACACTATCAAACATGAACAGATTTTAGTCCCAGATGATAAGTGAAACAAGCAGAACACAAATATTCCAATCAAATAAACGGATAAATTGGTTCTACCATGCCTAACATCCAAATTAATATTTTCCAAGAAACAGAACATTAAGGCACCATAATAAAATACAGCAAAAAAGCCAAAAAGATATAAGTTGAAGTTGCTTACAGAGTTCCAAACAGGCTCTTCTGTTCTGCACAAATATAAATAACACAGGTTAATTTAAAAAGGCAAGAACATCTTGAAAGATTAGAGATAACAGTAGAGAAAATTTTGTAACTAAATATATAAGGGCAATTCCCGCGCATATTGTAGTAGTCACCATCAACTCTTAAACAATAAAGAGAACTAATTATGAAGAAGTAGAAGCAATTAGGAAGATTCATGCATAAACTATAAACATAAAGGTGACCGTTAATGGTAGGATAACGGAAAGGACCCTATTGATACATAATAGTAGTTGAAGGTTATGATGTGTAACTTTCAAAAGCAGGGGGGGCACAGCTTGGAAAAGTCAATACTACAGGGTTATAGTGTAGAATTTCCCAATTAATTTTATTATTGACAAATGACAACATAAGTGTTCTCTAGAAAAATCCATTTTATTCATTTCAATCATCTAACTTCCATTCAACCATTTTTTCCAAGACCTTGTTTTGCTACCTTTTCCTCAACCTGGCAAACCATCTCTAAAAGTCTTAAACCATCCCCATCCTCACCCCATACTACACAAGTTTAAAAAAAAAAATTGATTGTAAACGCAATAATAATGAATATAAAAAGATAGGGACAAAATATAGATGAGCACTTCAGTCTTACTAGTTTAAAATGTTGTGTACAAAAGAGTTCCCATGAAACTTTCTTGTGAAACTAGCCAATAGGCTAAGCTATGGGGTGTCAAGACATATACATGGCCAAAACTAAAAAAAATACAAAATTAATCACTGAAAAATCTCTAGCAATTATATGTACTACCTCCATTCCTTAGTACGTTCCATTAGAATGTTGTGTCCAAACACAAAGGGCTTTCTGACATTACATAGTCATATCTTGAAACTTATACCAGTATTCTGAAATGACAAATGATAGTACATTATATGTAAAAGATGGTTTACAGAGTAACCTAATTCCCAATCTAACAGTATTTTCAAGATACACTCCTTTAAATTTCATACACAAAACAGAACATGATTGTCATTATATTTAGTATAGCACATAAAGAGACTGGCTTACAAAAAATAAAACATAAAAAAAGAGAAACTAATTAGATACAACAAAGTCAAGTGTTAAACAAAGAATACTAACTGATCGGTGATGTCTGTGCGGAATGTCTGTTCTCCAAGCGTAACACAGGCCAACCATTTGTCTTTAAAAGTCATCTTTGCCTATATATATAAAATTCATAAAACTTTGTTACTTTGAATTACATGCTTATCATGTTACAAAACAAACTTCTCGACAAAAGAAATTTCAGTTGTTACAAGCCAATCCCCCCCCCCCCCCTTTCTTCAGTTATCCTAGGTTTATTTTGCCCAAATAGAGCTTCAAAATGAGGGTAACAATAAACCTATACGGTATATAGTAGCGCTTTCCCTCTTCATCAAACAATCAAATGCAAATCCTATTAGAGGAAATGTTGCATAAAGGCAAGAGGATACCAAGTTCTTAAACAAGTATTCATTCTATTTTCTATTGGTTGTCCCATTTTCTTTTGCCATAATTGGCAATTTAGCTATGATGGGGATGAGTATGGATCAATGTATAAAAAGGTTCAAGACGCACAACAGCGCGCCTCAATGCACCTCATTGAAGTGAGGCGCATATAATAAACAATATAAAAAAAAATATGATAAAAATCTTTGTGCGCATTCCTTAAGCTTAATAACGCACCTTAGCCACTCATCATTGAAATCACCTTGCCTAGATCACAAAAAGCGCATGACCCTTAACACCTCAGCACCTAGGTGTGCTTTTTCAAACACTGGATTGGATATTGCATCAGAGATGATGAAAATAAAAAGGTGATTCATAATAGAGATGTGATTTTTAATGAAATAGTCATGTAAGGAACAGTGCTTGAAAAAGTTTGCCTAGGCACTAAGGCACAAGATGACATGAGGTTAGTGCTTAACTTGGTTTAGTGAGACGTTTTTGGTTAGGCATTGGTTAGACGCACGGGGGCGCACATGAGACGCTCCTCTGCCAATTTTTTTTTACTGTTTATATAGTGCGCTTCACTTCAAAGAGAACTGAGGTGCACCTAGGCGCTGCATAACCCTTCTCGCTTCAGTGTGCCTAGAGCTTTTTTATACATTGTCAAGGATAGACATAAAACTCACAAACAGAGTGGGCTAAAATTTGTAGATGAAGATTATGTCCCACACAATATGATGAAAGAGTCGATTGTAAAGATAACCTCAACAAGAACACGTTAGACAAAGCAATACAACACATTACATTATACCACGATCTCCTAGTCGTGAGAAGAACTTCTCGGCCTCATGATCCTAACATAAAATACATGAATTATCTATATTTATTGGTTAAGGACACCCTGAATGGCAAGTGGGACCTTGCAATGAAAGATGAGATTAAATCTTTTATTTCAAGCCATACATGGAAAGTAGCCGAGTTACCTATGGGTAAAAAAGGCACTTCACAACAAATGGGTATATCAAGTGGAAAAAGAGCATGATGGTTCTAAGAGATAAAAAGCTCGATTAGTAGTCAAAGGATGTCGACAAAAAGGAGTTGACTACAATGAATTTTGTACCTGTTGTGAAACTCAATACCACTAGAACAGTGTTGAGTACTGTTGTTGCCTGGGCGGATCAAGAAAAAATATTTAACGGGGTCAAAATACATTTGATAAATTATAATGAGGTCATTTGATCAAAATACATTTAATTTTTATAGGAAAAAAATTTAAATTTATAGGAATTTTTTTTTCTCATGTTCAAGTGGGGTCAAGGGACCCCACTCAAACATACATGCATCCGTCACTGATTGTTGCCAATGCTAATCTACATCATGGGCAATCAGGCATGAAAACTACATTTCTTCACAATGATTTGTATGAAGAAATATATACGCATTCACCAGAAGGTTTCTTAGGAAGTGGGAAGGAAAATATGGTGTGCTAACTTTAATAAAAAAAAAAAAAAAAAAAAAAGTTTGTATGGCCTAAGAGAAGTGCAACGCTAACCACTATTGCTACATAAAGAGATATCGATCAAGTTATATCATCTTACTACTCTATGTCGATGATATTTTAGTATTGTACATGGATGATAAAAGAAGGTTGAAACAACAATTTTCAAAGGAGTTTGACATGAAGGACTTAGGTCAAAAAAGAAGATTTTCAAAATGCAAATTACAAGAGGTAAGCAAAAAGGAATTTTGCAGTTACCTCAAGTACATTAAACGTGTTCACAAAAATTTAATATGAGTAATGTTAAGCCAACACGCAACTACGCAAGTCACTTTTGATTATCCAAGGATCAGTCTCGTCATGCACAAGAAGAAGATAAAGAATATATGGCTAAGGTTCCTAATGCTTGGCCATTGGGAGTTTGATGTACGCAAGTATGCAAAGGTTTGTACAAAACGAGATATTAAACATGTTGTAGGAATCGTTTGCTACTTCATATGTCAAATCATGGAAAAGTTCATCAGGAAGCAGTGGAATTGATATAAAGTATTTACAAGGTACCATAGATAAGTGTTTGTACTTTAATAAAGGTGAATTAAAAATACAATTGTAGAGGAACCATAGGTTATACATTCAAAGTTGGAAATACAATGATAAGTAGATGATACGGCTTCAAGGTAGGATTCCAGTAAGAAAATAATGTACTTTACGGTTAGAGTCAAAATGCAATACACTTGGCAATAAATTCAGCTTCACATTATAGAACTAAGCATATCGGACTTTGATATCATTAAGATCTCTATGCAAAGATGAAGTACTAACACTAGAGAAAATTCAAGGAACTAAGAATCTAGCGGAGATATCTTAAGGAAAACTAATTTGCAATCGTACTTCGATTTTTTGCAATTGTAAAAAGAGATATCTTAAGAATCTGGGCAGAGATATCCTCACATTCCCACTTCTATTTTTTATTTTTCTTGTACTTTTTCTGTCTGCAACTAAATAACAGAAAACTAATTTACAATTGTACTTTTCCTTGAATTTAATTTTTCATTGAAAACATTTTACATCAAACCAAATAGGGCCTTAGAGTTGATTAACTTTATTGCTCTTACCAACATTTTTGAAACTATTAATAAATGGAATAAATAATACATATATCTTAAATAGTTATTTTACACAATAAAGTAGCTTTAGTTACTATTCACAAACATTTTATACAAACTGCTAATACAACCAACTAATCAAACTAAGGGTCTGTTCTCATTGACTGAAATCAGTTGAACTGAACTAGCTGAACTGAACTTAGTAATTAGTGATTTTTAACTACGGATTAGTGATCTTTGATTATTCATTGATTATTCATTACAATACATATGTGTATATACATATGTACATATTAAAATATTTATGAAAAATATACTTTATAATTATAATATTTATGGAAAATATATTATAAACATGAAACCCCAAACACATATACTATATAATTTAAAAATAAAATATTATTATGACAAAAGAACACAAAACACTTTGTTGTTTAAATTTTTTTTTAAAAAAAAATAAAAAATAAAAAATAAACAAATTTACGTTTTTAGTTGCAAATAATCGTTGCTTGTTGTACTCTACACAATTTTATTCATTTACATGAATTAGGGATTCCATTTACGCACCAAGTTGAAATCATGGAGCGAAGAGAAGATCATACTACGTACGATCCTAACAGAAAAGCAGCTATGGATATTGTACGACAAGGAATAACTGATCAGATATGGAAGGAATGCCGAGGTAATGGAGGAGCTTGGTGGACAAGAAGAAGACGAAGAACTAACCGATTATGAAAATTAGTTTAAGTTGTGTACTACTCTAATTTTCTCAATGAGTTTAACAGTAGAAATGAGCTGAACTGAATTTCAATGTATGAGAACAGGCCCTAACTCTTAGAGTGATTTCCATCAATATTATTAGAAAGTTATAGATTCCAAGATTATGTTAGTTTTTGTAAATATTTCCTACATACCGTCCATGTAACCATAAAAATTGATTTATATTTTTTTTTTAAAAAGTAAAACCGCTAATTAAATTAGCGGTTTACTTACACGAAACAAAATAAATGAAACCACTAATTCAATTAGCCAGCATTGTTGCAAAATAGTTGATGATGCCGACAGTGTGTAGGGAATATTAGCAAAAAGTGACGTATTCTTGAAATTTATAACTTTTCCAACCATTTCTATGAAAATCACTCTAACTCTTACAATCAACTATTCAAACCAGCTCTCTAACAAATAACAACTGACCCCTCGTTCGGCTCGTTGCAAAGTGTTGTATAAATCACATTAGTCATTGTGGGTCAACATGAACTCGTAAAGTATGAGAAAAGTATAAAAAGTCTAACCAAGCTACTTATATTTTTCTAATACTCATTTTAAGATACAATAAGGCAATAATACAACCTTTTTTTTTTTTTAGCTCAAATGATAGATTAAGAAGTTTTGAAAAAACAAATAAACATAAAAGGACCTAAACGCAAATCTAGTAAAACAAAAACATAAATACTCCGTAATATACTCACTATGACAGGTAGGTCCGAGTACGTGAATAGTATAAAAGTACAAATTACGTAAAGCAATAATAATAAAATAATAAAAAGTCAAAAAAGAAATTTAAAACATACAGAGATGAGAGTGAGAAGAGCAATTCCGGCGAAATCATCTGCAGAAACCAACTTAAATCCATTCCCAGATTGCTTCGATCGACTATCACGCCGCAGTTTTTGCCGCAACTTTGCTCTGCGACTTTGAGATGATGATGGTGATGAATCTTTCGAACTTCCATGCCCCATTCTTCTATATCAACAATTTTCACAAAAATGGCGAACAACAACCAGAATTTCCAATTTTGAAGTGCTTTTTTAAGGAATAATAAACAGTCGAATTAATGAAAATTAATTTGGAATAAGAATAAGAATAAGAATTTAAATGGTCGGTTACATTTAACAATTGAAAAGGCAAATGTACTGAGCAGTTGGAGAATTTGTCCTTGCTTATTTTTTGGTGGGGGTGTATTACTTAGTTATGGGGTTGACTGTTGATTTGTTTTCTCTTTATATCAAGGTTCAACATGGAAATTGGTACGAGTATACTTTTATTGACCGAATTCTCATAACACGATAAGAGATAATTTAGTGGTTAGGATGAGATACTCACCTCGTCACCATTTAGTTGTAACAAAAAATTTGCATGATTATAAAGAGTTTAAGAACTTAACTTTGGAATATTTCCAATAATAATGTTATGTGTGAGAGGTTATCCCACGTGGAAAAAGTAAGAAGGAAATGCATTGTTTATATTGTAAACAATTAGATATGAGTTATGAAATGGGCTAAGTGGTGGTTTTGGACAAGTGGGCTAAGTGGATAACTGCTCATTTGAATTGACGTTCATCCTGTTCTTCCCCCTTTTCTCTGTTTTCCCCCAAAAACTCTAGGGTTCATCATAGCCTTGTTACACGCCTAGATCCATTATTTGTTTTTGTTGTTCCAATCAACTTTTCAACCAACAAAAAAAAAGACCTTAACTTTGGTGGTGTAAAGTGATACTCATTGAAATATTTGTGGGTCGATGTTTTAAAAACAAGTGTGATTATACAATTGAAATGAGTCATTATAAACTTGTTTTTTGTTTGAGTGTTTAGAGAGCCATAAGTATAAGTGATGAGAATGAATCTTAAAATCTCTTATAATAGAAAAGAGGACTCTAACCATTTGAGTTATCCCTCACTTTCAAATAAATAATTATAAGTTGAAAGTAAGGATACCATAGAAAGTTGTCCAAAATTCATCAATTGAAGTTCCTCACATCAAATTAATTATTTACTATGCCAATAAATTTGGTTGTGTTAAAGTACAATATGCACCAAAAACGGTTTGTAGAAAGAATAAAGGGGTAAACTTTTGCTTCTACCCCAACATATAGCATAGTAAAATTTTACAAGGACATACCACCATGAAACGCTAAATTGGTGGACAAGCCATAATTAAACAGTATAAATAATTAGTTAGTGAGCTATTTGCACAAGAGAGAATACATTGCCCCGCCGAGAACGTGAAAAAATTTGAGCTCAAACCAATATGCATAGCTCTGCATCTTATACAACTGGCACAAGCATGTATATGATCAAACTGCATTACATGCCTCGTCGGAGGTTCTCCAAAATCACGCGTTAGGCTTCCTGTAAAAAGAAGCTGCATCTCTGAGGGGTGGGACAACCCGTAAATGCAAAACGTTTTTCAGCAACATTCAACCTAATTGAAGTAATCTTGCCGGATGATTGAGATACGGTTAGAAGGTGGATCATCTTCATCCCTTTGCTTCCAGAGCTCTCCATTACTTTGCAGATGCCATGATACTTTTGGAGAGAGTGGCGTATATAAATCTGAGACAGTAAAAAACAAGGTGTTAAGTAATGACAATAAGGAAGTGAAGGGAAGATTATTCCAACCATAACTAGAATATCAAGAAACATTAAACAAATAACTGATAAAGGGACCAAATCTACCGAGTCAAATTGTGTCAATGAATTTCATCAGTCACTAGATCCAGTTTTGTAAAAGGCCTATATTGTGTTTAACATTACTGTTGTACAGAAAGAATATATTCTTCAAGTTCATCGATTCTTGGGATAACAAAAGCCTTATTGTTTTCATAAAAGAGCTATCTTGATGCACAAGAGAAATCACAGGGGTAGGGAAAAACAAATCCAAAAGGTATATGCAATTATAATTAATTCTTTAGAGCAGGAAACTAACAACTAATTACATCAACATATGCATTTGAGTTTTCAGTTTTCTATTCAGTTTTGGGTAAGAGGAAAATAACGTGACTACATCATCTCAGTTATAAGCCGAGGCCATGGGCAGATTGAGCATCAAAAGGAAAAGAGAGAAACTAACAAGTTAGACAAAAGGCAGATAAGAAAATAGACTACCCAAGTCAAACTCAAATAGACTCCCCTGTTTTTATCTTACGAAAGATGGATACCCATATATAACTGTATTCATAATTTGAGTGTAGCCCCTCTCTTTCATTCATGGATACCCCATGTATCACTTTAACACGGTATTACAGAGCCTCAAACATTAAAGAAGGGAAGAAAAATTACAATTAACTATTCAGCTCATACTGTAATAGTCAAAACTGGACTTTGAAAGTATACATGTTCACAAAATTTGATATCACTCAACTAAAGCAACTGGCTAGAGTGTAGTAGCCAGATTTTGAGCATATTATTCCAAGAAAAAATACACCCATTCCCAACACTATTGAACATATATGGATCACACGACTCACTAAGGCTCTGTTTGGTTTGACGAAAAACATTTTGAATGAAAAATGACTTCATGGAATACATTTTTTCAAGGAACATTAGCAAATTAGTTTTCCTTTAGTTTATTTCCTTACAAGAAAAGTTATACACGAATATAAATGGGAGTGGAAAGGTGAGGGTGGATGAGAGGAAAGGAAAAAAAAAACAAGGCGAGGAGGAGGGAAGAAAGGTGGCTTCCCTTCTCTTGTAAAGGAAAATGTTTTCCACCATTTGGAAATTTTTTTTCCACCCCTTCCCAAATCAAACAAAGGAAAATGAGCGCAAATGAGAAAATCATTTTTCATGATAACATTTTACATCAAACCAAACACTCCCTTACGTACACTAAAATGAAGTAATAACTTAAATCAAACTATAGTTAAAATCAAACCACCTTGAGATACCAGGATCAATGTCCAGAAGAATTATTTAATTTAACTTTTTTTTCTTTCACTCACTTAGTGTACCTTTATCATTCAGGCTACACTCAACCAATACCATGCCATCACTACTGGCTACAGCTTACAAGCCGCTACTCACCCATTCCAGATCAGTAGGGGTGTCCATTCGGACTTTGGATTGGACTGAAGCCTAGTCCAATCAAATCCGAAATATATTTGGACTCTCATTTTATAGTCCAAATCCAAATCCAAAGTTTTCAAAATCCAATCCGATCCAATCCAAATTAAAATTTCATAGTCCGAATCCAGTCCGATCCAATCCGAATTAATGAGGGGATTTGGCAGATTTGGGCTATTGGGTTTGGGCTTACTAATGTTAAATGGGTTGAAGTTTATTATTATTATTTTTTTTAATTATTTTTTTATATATTAATATATATATATATATATTCAGACTATTTGGACTGGATTGGACTTAAAAAATTTGAGTCCAAATCCAATCCGAATTTCAAAATTTTTGAGTCCAAATCCAATCCAAATTTAAAAAGTCCAATCCAAATAGCTTATTTGGACTGGATTGGATTGGATTTCGGACTGGAGTCCGAATAATGGACACCCCTACAGATTAGTACACTTTCCTTCTTCATTTGTCCCAAACTAGAGTTCTTTCTTCTAGTTTAGGAAATAACTCTTTTTCTTTTTTTTTTAATGGAGTGACATGTCTCTCTTTCCACTACTAAACAGCTAGGGTTTCACACTTTCTTATATTCACTATAAGAACAACCCACTTATCCTTTATCAAATCTATTTTTTTGATAAAATAATGCTCCATTGTCTCCTTTCACATCAACTTCTCCAAAAATTATCACCTAAACTATGTGCATTGATACGTGCCAAAACTAATGTGGGATGAAGTGAGTATTCCACACACAATGTCCGCTTAGGATCTTATGCAACTTCTTTTCAGGTATAAAAACTACTATATATTAAAAAAAATAAAAAAATAAAAAATAAAAAAGGGTCAAAAAAAGATGGGCAGGTGGTTCACTATTGCAAATTGAATTTCAGCAACAAAACCACCTTGCTGCCAGAGGAGCCTCTACTGAGACCGCACTTTTTTCCCTCCTTTTCCCTGATTCCCTCCCCTTACTTAATTAATCCCCTTCCTATGCTCATTTTGCAACCCTTTCTTCCTCTATCAATCATTTGATTGCACCAGTTCTATAGGACACCACAATCCTCCAACATTCAACAAGTAGGATAAGGCTTCTATAGGCCCATCAATAATTAGTTCACCCCAAATAATTAGTTTGAATTGTAAATTAAGGGTTTTTTTTTTAACCTTTTTTATTTATATCTTATTTCTTGATAAAACTGATTTCAACTTTAAAACATTTTTTCTGATCTAACTCCAGCTAATCCTTTCAAATTTTTATAATTGAACAAGTAGGGGCAGCTATCATATGCAGCCTAATAGGTCCCTATGAGGTTTGCATTGCTCACTCTTCTATGAACCGAGATACCCTGAGGCCTGAGACAATAGTACAGCGCTACAGCTTAGATGAAATTGCATATATACTGTCATAAAACCTCGACACTATGCTCATGTATTATATGGTACTAATTGTTTGACACATTGCTTTTAGGGACAATGCAAATGTTACATTAGTGTCAACTAGCCCTGGTCCATTGTAAAACTCATTTTACTTTCATATAAGTTTAATGATAGAGAATTAGAGATGAAGGATAAGTGACTCATTCAATGGCCGTGGAAGAACACTTGAAAACTTACTAAATGTTCTGTTCCAAGGCAAAGATACACTGAAGAATCAAACGAAAATTCTGGAATAAATAACTTATGTTTCATTAACAAGGAACCCTTAACTTCACAATTTAACCAAGAACAGGTCAGCAATTGAATATTCTGGTGTAACCAACAAACGATGTTTGGCAGAACTATAAACTTAACCAATAATTAATTAATGTTATTGAATAACTTGCCCATTATCTCGAAACAAATTACCCTTTACACTTAAAGTAAAGTGGGCACCCGAAACTGAGAGCACATAGACATTAAGTTCATAACTAAGCCACCACCAATATGGAGAAAATTACAAAGTTTCTCTCATGAATAATAATGATCTACCTGCACAGGAAATAGCTATAAAGTAGTTTTTAATAACACTTTCAGTAGATTTGATACACTTTTGAAATATGTACTGTTAGCACTACTGTTTCTGTACCACTTTTCATATGACACTGTCCTCAGGACTCAGGTGCACAGAAGTCTTCCAAGTTTATAAATATCGGCTGTCAATGGTTTTATAGTTACATACTTTCTCAAACAATATTATAAGGATCAAGTTCCAAGACAAAATGCCTTATTATGAACTTTCA